GCGAAACAGACCAGTGAACCTGGGTAAGATTAATATTCTGTTTCACATTCATTTCATCCTTCATGTCAAAGAGCAGCTGAACAATACCTTGCAAACCTCTTAGGTTCGATTTTGCTGCCACACTTACCCACACAAGGTACAAAATGCTCTTGAAGAAACAGAACAGCCTTTCTGAGGCTCTTCCCTTCCCAGTATTTTGTTTACTAATCTAACAAGTGCAAAAGCTCAGGAGACCAACTTTCCTCCTGCCCACAAGCACTGTCTGTTGGCAATATCTTTGAGCACAGCAGGGGTTTAATAATCTTTCTTTTTCAAAATGACTTACAAGTGGATTTCACAAGAAATGAAAATGTTAGCGATATATTTGGATTGCCCTGCTGGCTGAGATCACGCTGAAATAAAAGCAGAGTCACCAGGGTCAATATTTCTGCTGCACAGAGCTACTGACTTCCTGCCCAGAGCAGATGCTTGAGCTGCTGCTGCTGAGTGACTCCTGCTCCTCTGACCCCGAGGAAGGGAGCTGAGAGCTGCTTTTGGGCTTACCACAACCCTGCTGTGATGTCCCTGCACCAGAGGTATCTCAGAGGGCTCATGGAAGTCTGTTGGAGCACATTTGAGATACTGAAATAACTCCCTGGTTTTCCATACAATGGGCACTAGAAAAAGCTGAGAGAGCTGTGGCAGGGCAGCCTGGAAAGAAGAAGGATCTGGGGAGATCATAAAAAACAAAGCTGTGAGCAGGGTGAGACTTCAAATGCTCTCAAAGTATTTTAATCGGGTGGGTTTTTTCTTTCTAAATCAGTGAAGGATAGTTCATGTGTGTTTTAGATATGTTTTAACATAACCCAAACTCTGAAAATAATTCTGATTTTTTTATTTTTGAAGTGACCAGAGCCTGTCTGCACCTGGAACTCAGACTTGTTACCTTCCCAAAAACCATCTCTATTGCTTTATCTTCATGGACAAGAAAACTGCTAATTTGCTCACAAAGAATCTTTTGAGCATTGCATTCTGAGTTTTGCTATCAAAGAGACCACTTAATTTCCAGTGCAAGAATTCAATTTAGGAACACAAAAGCTGATTCAAATTAATTTTGCAGATATTTTATACATGTTTGTGTGCATTTGGATTGTGGCAGATTTATTGCTATGGACTTTCAGATAAAGAAGGAAGAAAGAAAAAAATATACAAAAGCAAAATATTAGAAGTGTTTCAGTGAGGAATCAAACTAGATCTCCTTTATTTATGTGAAAACATAAGATTAGGGCAATTCTGGTATAAATAAAGATATCAGATTTATTTTTGCAAGCAGCCATGGCTCCTCTCTCATGAGTGGCAGACACACAAATGATGTCAGTGTGTATGACTAACAACTAAAAATACAGCAGGTATTTTTGTACAGGCTACGTAATATCCTATGAATACAAGACCATTTTGTTTAGTTTACATTCCTTTGAACCTTGCCCATTCACAGATTTCTCTGAGCAGTTTCCTTGTATCACACACTGTGAACTATTGTCACTGATGCATTTCTACCAGTTTTAGAGAGAAAAAAAACCCAAACCCTGCTTCATCTCCATTTGATGAAAACATCTGATTTTTCATCAAGAGTTTAGGAATTCATCCGTCTCTGTGACCCTTCTAATTCTGCCAAGTTAAAAAAGAAAATCCATAAAAACATTTCCCAAGTAATCCCTTTCTCTAATATGTTGTTCTGGGTTTTTATCCCTGCAATAAATGCCTTGCTACATCTTTGCTGTGATTAGTCTCATGGGATGTACTCGTGATGAGCATCTCCCCGGGGTCAGCCTGAACACAGGGCACAATCTCTCTGCCAGCGCCAGGCCACATTTGAATTCCCCAAAACAATCCAAAAGCCAGGACTTGGGCATCAGTGTCCTACACAGAGCAGTGCAGTCACCAAGCTGGCAGAGGAGAGGGGCCAAGACAAAGCTTTTCCATTCCTCAGTGAGGATAAGATGTTTCCAAAGTGAAGGAAAAATTGAATTCCATGGGGTTTAATATTCTCCCATTTCCTCCAAGTACTGCACAGAGCAAGTTGCTAAACCCCAAACAGGCTGAGCCATGGTCTTGCTAAGTCTGTAAAACACAGAAAATACATCCAGTACCAAGAATACATGCTCAGGAAGAGGAAAAAATGCAGGATCTCCTTATAGTCAGCAGTTCTGGCACTCCCACAGCACTGAGGACTCTGAGTTCTACTGCCTGTGCTTTTGGAGGATGGAGAGGGAGCCCATCCTGCTCACATGGAGTAATTTTTTTTAAACATCACAGAATCCTGGAATAGTTTAGGTTGGGAGGGACCTTCAAGATCATCTTGTTCCAGCCTTTTCCCAGTGAAAGGGTAACCTTCCACTATCCCAGACTGCTCCAAGCTCTGTCCAACCTGGCCTTGGACACTTCTAGGGATGAGGCAGTCACAGCTTCTCTGGGTCACCTGTGCTGGGGCTTCACTCCCTCTCAGGGAAGAATTTCTTCCTCAAATCTAGTCTAAGTCTACCATCTTTCAGTTCAAAGCCATAGCTCCTTGTCCTATCACTACACTTATTGTCTAGCAATAATTACATTTTCACTGAAACAGGGACGGGAATCCAGATTTAATTGGACCTGGGTTTTTGGCACAAAAAGTTTGAGCAGCTTCTTGGATACTGTTACACAACAGAGACCTCTTTAAAGCACCACTGTCTTTTCCCTGCACTCTTTGTTCTCTCCATGACCTTGCCGTGTTCATTCTGACATATTTTTTTGCTGCAGCTGAGGAACCATTGACATGGTGACACGAAATAGGATTTGATCTTGTTCTGGAAGTTTTCCCTTTGATTAGCTCTGGGAGCCTGTCACACACTGTTCCAGCCCTGCCATGCAAACAGCCTTAAATTACATTTCACAAGGTTTCATCCTTGGGAGCAACACTGACAATCCCTGTGAACACTTGTTCTTTCCCCAAACCCTCCCCAAAAGCAGGCTGACACCTATAGAAACCTCGCCAGACTTTGCTGCAGCAAAGTTCTCTAAAATGCTTCAAAACAAATGGACCTGCAAAAACTCTGCCAGATTTCAAGTCAATGTGCAAATCAGATTCTTGAAGCTGAAAAAATAATCCCTGCAGGAATGATTTGATGTAGGATGGGCACATCCCCTTTTTAATGGCAGTAATAATTAATGTGCTACTTTCAATAAACTTATATTTTTCCCACAAAGAAAAAACCCCAGCCATAACTGCATTTTTTATTTCAGCATTTAGAGTGCCCCCTAAAATCATTGGTCTCCATTTAGGCTACACCATTTTATGAAAACATGAAAAGTAGACTAATTCCTTCCTGCAATGTTTTCCAGTGACTGTTACTGTAACTTAGAACCAAGGGCTCCTGAATTAATTTTTCAAAAACAATAAACATTTCATTGAAATTTAAATCCTTTATTCTGGGATTATTTTTGCATATAATAGTCTCAAAACCTAAGGTAAACCACCTGCCAGATAAGGAATGCCTCTAAAATATTCAGCATTCCAGGCAACCTGTTGCAGTGCTTCCTCTTTTGCCAGGAAACACAATTTCTGTCTTGTCTTTTCCCAGAACTGCCCAGAGTTGTCTTATTCTGGTGAGAAGATCTTGTGTGGTTGTTATTCCGTCCTCTACATAAACAGAATATTCCTGCATCCTTAAATCCAACAGGACAATTGAACATCTCTGTGTCCAACACCTGCCCTGGAGCAGCCACTCATTCCTTGTCCACTGGCACCTGCCCGACCTCTATGAATACTGAGTGGAGAAAGTTATTTAGTACCCCCAAAATTTCATCCTAGTTCTTGTGCACCATGAGATCATAATCACTGCTTCCTACCTGATCAGGGAACAGCCTTGAGAACTGCAAAATTATCTTCTCAGCCCTACAGACTCTAAGTTTAACCTTCTCCCTTCATCCTTGCATTTAAAATTAACTTGCATGTTTTACCTTTAAGTGTAGCACCCTTCAAATTTCTGTCTTACACCTTCTGAGGGCTGGAGTTAACAGAAATTATTAAACTCAAAAATGCTTCAGAATCAGTACATCCAAAAATAAAAATGCAAAAATACCTTCTAATGGCTCCCTATTTTTTTTTTTCCAGCTACTGTTTGCAGGCTCAAGGGAGGAGGTATTTGAAGTCTTCCTTTGTGAGATAAGTAGTTGCCTTTGCAAGAAAATTTGCAGCTGCTTAACACTTTTATTTAGGACACTGAATTTATTCCCTTTTGTTTGATTTCCATAATTGTTGTTTGATTTGTATGGGTCCAATACAAAGTCTCTTTTATTCTGTTTTACCTGGTGGTGCAAAACCACAGCCTCACACCTCACTCTGGGGAAGGTGAGTCCTGTACACCCTATCTCCCTTTTTTTCAGCTGTATCTGGATGTATTGACTGCCTTCAAAGCAATAACAAAGCTTGGCCTTCATTTAAACCTGGTCTTACCATGTAATTGCAGTAGTAAACAGAAATTTCACATGCACCGCCATGCTCCTCCAAAATTATATTTACAGGAGGTTCTCCCTACCCACTTATCCTAAGTCCCATGAGGGGATATTTTCTACTTAACCAATTAAATGTTCCTGGAGGAAAGGGCAGAGCTGACCTTACCCCCATTCCCTTCCTGAGCCTTTTAGATAGCTGACAGGTTTACAACCCCTTAAAGCCCTGGAGCAGGGGCTCTGGAATGGCTCCAGCAGCAAATTCCGTGCCCTGGGTAAGAGAAAATGGTGCTATTATTGCACAGAGTTGTGAGTTGAGAGAGTTTGTGGCAGCACTTTGAAGGCAGTTAAAGTGGCAGCTAAATATGCATTGGTTACAAAACAGAACCAGAAGCAAAATATCCTGCAAAGAAACAAATGCATAAAAGCACTTTCACCATACAGATTATTTCCACCCGTGTAAAAGAGAATTTTTACATGAAATTCCCACCTAGCAGGAGAAAAGGTTTATTCCAAATGAATTAGGTGCTCACCTTTGACTCTATCTCCTTTGTGCAGGTGAATTTCCCCTTCCCCTTGAGGTTGATATGGCTTTACAACAATAAAAAGTCTCCCAGGGACAGCACTGTAGAGCTTCCTTTTGGGACCCTGATAATCCAAGGCAGACAGAGTATCTTTGTTGGCACTGGGACTGTAAACGGCACTGGAAATTGAAATGAAAAATCATTAACAGCTTATTCAAAGGGGGAACGTTAATCATTTACCATCACATTAGCAAGATTAAATTAAGCAGTGAATAACAAAACTGCCTCCCAGTAAGACATCAAACCCTGCAGAAAAAAAAACAAACAGGAGCTTTTAAGGGTTGAAATATTTCAGTATGAATCATGATCAATATTCACCTGACCATAATGGCCTAGAACAGAAAACACACAACATTAAAGCTTTTAGTTTTTCCACAATTTAAACTTGCACATTCCTAGGCCCTAATTAAATTCAAAATTTATATGCCCATCATACATTCCCAGCATGTCAATTTGTCAGAGGGACTTGAAAATGTCTGTATTTACAATTCTTGGGAATGGGTATCTTTGTAACACAGAGTGAACAAGTGAGATCACTGAATTATTAACTAAATGGACTGAATAATCAAGTTACTTCATCACTCCAAGGCCCAAGGTTAAATTTAGATCTGCACAAAGCCTGGTACTTGTGGTTAACATTTTCCAAATTATCATTTCTTCTGGATGGCAATCACCAGCTCATTCAGTGACTCCAGAATGTGCCCAGGAGAGCCGCAGGTCACCACCAACTCACAGTCATGGTGTATAAAAAAGGAATTGTTGAAAGGTGGTGAACAATGCATAAGATCACTCTTAAACCTGTGGGAAAATGAGTGAACTGCCAAAAAGATACGAAAAGAGAAAGAGGCAAATACTAAAGGGTGGGAAACCTATAGGATAGATCATAACAAACTAGCAATACACTAGCAGTCAACTTCAAAAAAACCCCAAAGCATAAAAACTTGCAGTCTTAACCAAAGTCTAGAAAAGGAAAATATTCGTGAGAAGGAGTAATATTAATAGAGTTTGATAGGGAAAAGTTAGGCTACCAAAGGAAGAAGGGTGATTTAGTGGTGGTTTGGCATTATAACACTCTGCTTGCCTTCATGTAAGAAAGTATCTCTAACTGCTTTAAGCAAAATGAAATACAAGGGCTGGGGTCTGCTGAGTTTTCACCTTTTTTTTTTTTTCAACCAGTCTCCTACCAAAATGGGAGCCAGTAAGTCAATAGGTACAGAAGTCTGATAAAAACCCACACCTATTGGATCTTTCCTATCAGGAACACTCCTGTTTTCCTGCAGTAACCTCTTCACCGTTTGGAATTACATGCCCCTTTCACCTTGTTTTGTTCTATTACTGTGAAGGGATGCTGCTAATGGTAAGCCCCACTCAGGAGTTTAAAAGGGAGCTCTGCTTGCATGTCTGTGATGGAGTTTGCACCAGAAACCTCAGCCAACTCTCACAGTTGTTTAAAGAAAGCCTGGAAAAGATGACATTCAGATTTCAGTTCTTTTGCTCCATTCCTTTTTCCTTATAAGTGGAGGAACAGTCATCACCATAAAAAAAAAAAATCTAGATCTATAAACTATAGCTACACATCTGATTTCCACTTGTATCAAGCTGTGTTTCTGCCTAGTCTGGTGGCAGCTATTCCCAGTGTTATCTCCCAGCATCTACTTTAACTGTGAGCACAGAAGATACATTCATTTTCTCCTTCACTGAAAGAGAAAAGGGAAATGGCACATTAAACCCACACAAGGAATGCAGAACTTCTTAGGCAACAGACTCACTAATGGAAATCAGGGCTGCAACGTGGGGTGCAGGACTTTTTAAAAAGAGATCTTTCCTCTCCCTTGCTTGTCCCCAGCGTGGGCTCCAAGCCCAGCAAGTGCCATGCCAGGAAGGAGCAGGAGGAGGATGCAGAGATTTCAAGAGAGGTGTAGACATGTTTCTCTCTCAGCCAGAAGAAGGTGGCCATCCTTGGCAGCTCAGCCCTCACTGAGGCTGTGTTGGCACCTCATTCACTGATTTCTGTGGGGTTTGTTCCACACAAAGCCTGTCCCTTTCTTTTCATTCCCAGCTTCCCCCCTCCCAACCACTTTGCTGTGAAGAGCAACAGCCTTGTGAGAATCAAGAACAGTTTGGTTTGAAAGGGACCCTCAAGACCACCCAGTGCCACCCCCTGCCACGGGCAGGGACATCTTCCACTGGACCAGGTTTTTCCAGCCTGGCCTTGGACATTTCCAGGGATGGGGCAGCCACAGCTTCTCTGGGAAGTCTGTACCCCTGACTCACCACCCTCTCAGGAAAGAATTTCTTCCTAATATCCAATCTAAATCTCTCCTCTTTCAGTTTGAGAAGACAGAGCACCTGAGCCACACGGGCTGCAAAGGTCACATGAACCCCTTCCAGCATGGCTTTCCAGCACCTCTCCACAGCACAAATCCCACAGACCTCATTAACCCTTGTCACAGTCTGACCTTCTCCATCACTGTGCCCCTTCTGGCTGCTCCTGCTCCACAACCCAACCTCCTGCTCTGTCAGAAAGGACTTTTCCATCCCAGGGGAGCAACAGCTTCGTGGTAACTGTTATTATTTGCAAATAATAAGCAGAGACAGCAACAGTTCCCACATTTAGCTAACAGTAAGTAGGTGGTCATGCAGTTAAACAAAATCTGTGAGGAAAGTGTCATATAAGGTGCCATTCCTGACTGCAAAATAGGCCTGTGGCAAGAAAAGGCATTATTTGCAGGAAGAATTATATATATCAATCCATTTAGTTGTCTTTAAATTTAGAGAGCCTCCAGCTCTCTTCTCAGTACTTGTATGTACTCTGGACTTCTCTGAAACAAGTCTTGGTGGCACAGAGGGAGCTGGGTAGCAGCTTCAGCAGCTGTGCTGCTGATGCACTAAGAGGAAGACCAAAATTTTATATCCACAAACTCTCAGGCATTAAAGTGGTTCCCATTGTCACCTGAGCAACTTTTCAGAAAGGGAAGAGGAAAGTGGTTGAACAAAGTCAAAGCAAGTAAATGTTTGCTTAATAAAAAAAAAATATTTCTAATTGTTACCCCCAGCTGAAGCTGAAAGGATTGTTTATACTTCTAGAATTTGAAGCGTGTTATCTCAGGAACATTGATGAAAATGCATTTTTATCCCATGCAGCTAAAATAATCACTGACTCTAAGGTAGAACCTCCCTCTCTCGTGGCATCAGCAGAATCCAGAGGAACAGAAGAACACTCATTCTCTGAAAAGAACCTTACAATCTCCTCACTTCAACTCCTCATCCAGTTGAAGCCTCATTACAGACTGATCTTGAGCTGTTACTGGGCTCTGTGAGGACATGCCACCCAAATTATACCCAAATGAAATTTTGCCATTATTGTAACACACAACAAAGCAAGATGAGCTTGCTTGCTGCATGAAACCACTGGCATATGGAATCTGCATTCCCTTCCTTCCCTTTAATTTCACTCTTTCTTACATGCCAGACGACTCTGTCTCACAATTCACCAGATCCCCCCTGCCCAGCAGTATTGTTTCCATCACAAACAGTGCCTGGCAGTTTGGCCAGGGAGAGCAGAGGAACAGGCAGGGTAACAGAGGCAGTGTCAGCTACATAACATTTTGTTTTACTGACTTGAAAACTCCACTGAACATCCCTTACACCTACAAACAGCAAAGAGAAACCAACAGCTGCATTTCTTGACAATTCCCAGTTCCTTTTCTGCTCTGAACAGCAGACATATTATATATACATATATTAGGAAGCAGGGAAGACAAAGCCAGATTTTCAACTGAGGAGTGTTTGGCCAAAATGTGTGAGCTCTGGTTCTCTCCAGCAGAGCTCAGCTCTGATGCCTCCCAGCCTTTTTGTAGCACTTCAACTCCTTGTCCTGGTGCATCTCCATCTCTTTCCCATTTGACAGGAGCTCCTGAGTCCAGGGCAGTGCCTTCTCAAAGCTGTAGCCCCCATAAATGATCAAAACTTAGCCCCAGCCCTCCGCTTCATTCCATGGCTTACAAAACCTACATGACTCTAATTAGTCAGGATTTGCTCTCCAGTTGGACAGAGCTGCAGGATATTTGCCCTGAATGCCTGCTAGATCACATTACTCCCTCTATTTCACTCTTTGGTGTGTGCTGAGAACCTAAACGGCCTCTGCTCCATCACCCATGAGCAGCTCCAACACAGGTTCCAGGCATGACCAACAGTTCTGTGAAGGGACCAGTTATCCCAGAAACAGTTTGCTTCACTGTTAGATACAATCCTTATTTCAACTTTGGGAAGATGTGCAGAGCCAGCACCTTTAGCTGGAGGTGCAAACTGTGTTAAGTCACTGCTGAACTTGAAAGTCTACCTGGCTGCTGGAGCTCTGTGAGGAAACGGCTGGCTTTGGGGCTTCCAATTAAAATATTTACACTTGGGCATGGTCCACTGTGCTGAGCATGAATAACTGTACATTCTGGAGATTGCAACTAACATAAAGGAATGTGGCAGGCCAGCATGGTGCCTGTAGGGTACCTCATGCTGTGAAACAGCCAAAGCTCACCTGATGTGCCTGTGCTGCTGCCTCTTGGCATCCTCTCCCAGCCTGTTGAGGGATGGCGAGCGGCTCCGGGAGGACGGAGTGTAACTCCCCACAGTTTTTACAGTTCCATTGGGATTATTCTGCATCTGTTGGAGCAGGTGAGGGGAAAGGCTGCGGTGTGAAGAGGCAGAGGAGGAGGCTGACCACTCGGGGAGGTTGTTGATGTTCAGGTTGTTGTCGCTGTTGGAGCGGAGCAGGATCCGGGGGGCTGCCAAGGTGCTGGGAGGCCTCCTCCTCCTGTTGGAGTAGGTGGGAGCCTCCCTAAAGGGCACTGTGCAAAGAGAGACATGGAGGGTGATCTCAGATGATTTCACATTCGTGTGTGTTTAGCACCACATGCAACATATGGCATTGTTTCTTCTGCAGAGACAGAAACTCCACCTTTCCAGCAGAGCTGATCAAATTATCTTTAGAACATCATTAAATCAAAAACAACAGAGCAACATGAACCTGTTTGCTGGCTTGCATACACAGTGAGGCAACACCAGTGCCCTGAGCCTGCTGAGCACTCTGAACTGTGCTCTAGGAAATGGGAAACACCTCATTATTGCCAAGTTTGAGGCTCAGAAAGTTCATTTTCCTTCTGTGTTGTCACATTCAGTCAGAAAGGCACAGAACAGAATTCCTGCTGCATGGACTTGCAGTTTCCATCCCGCATTCCTGGTACCCAAACTGGTCCAGACCTAAGTTCAAGTTCAGGCCTAACCTGAAATCTGTGAACAGTCACCTTATCCCCATCTTGCAGGTTAAAAATTGAGGACACAGCTTGCTGTCCTGGCAGAACTCTATTACACTGCTGCAATCCCCAGGCATTCCCCTCTTTCTAATCCTGGCATCCCTACCACATCCATTACTATGGTATATAGAGCATATTACCCCAGGGTAATACACTGGCTCCGTCACATGCCACATCCCAGGGGGAACACCAGGATATCCAAAAGCTCCAAGAAACTCCTTAATGGAAGAGCCACAACACAAAACAAAGCCAGGGCGACACAAATCTCACTCAGAGCAGAGGGTCCAGCCCCCCACGCGTGCTGCTGGTTCACACGAGCGTTCACACCATTTTCCACATCTCCTTTTCCCACTCCAGTGGGTCAGTTTGTCCCAAGTGCAACTTGGAAGGCAAATTCCCTCATAAAAAAGCACCCAGTTATCAGCAGATGGGATAGAATTTCCTGCCCTGTCATAAAGGAATTGACCCCAAAACCTCATGCTGGCCCTGATCCCCATTATTGCAACTGCCCTCATTAATTTCTCTCAGTGGAGCTCATGGGGGTCACAGGACCTGAGCCAAAGTGCACAGATTTACATCCACAAAGTCACAGTGGCATAACTAACAAAATGCATCCAGGCACTGCTGCTGAGGGCTTCACTGAGCTGTTGTAATTCTCAAAGAAAAAAATCATATGTAAATTGGGAAAGAAGACCCACAAAATATCATCCTTCATGTCTAAAGTGCCAGTAAGTGCCATTTATAAAGAGCCAGAAATGTCTACTCATTCAATACCCTTCAAAACCACACAAAAAAACAGAATAAGAATGTCTGTCATACTGTGCAAGTAAATAAATTCACATAAATATGAATATAGATAAGAATCAATCTGTCCTGCCTTGAAATAGAGCCTTTAATTGAGAGAACAAAGCAAAATTTAAGGTTTCAGTGCAAAACTGAGAGCATATTTATAGCATAAAATAGAGATGGAACTGCGAGTAAAAGAATGGTTTGAATCATTTTCACCAGAGTCAATTTATGATTACAGTTTATCAATTACAATTCTGAATATTTTACAATAACATCCTTTGTATTTCCAGTGAGCTGAAACTTCCTGTAGTAAACAACTCAACAACATCTGAACAATCAAACACGGAAACAGCGTGCACAGAAAGGGCTTCAATTATTCCCATGCTTCCTTTGAAATAAGGGAAATAGCCTTTAAAAGCTTTAAATGGGAGACAGCACACAAGTCCAATGTTTATGCAAGAAACTAGAAGAAACTCTGGATAATTTTCCCAACATTTCAAGTTTTTTCCCATTCCATATTTCTTTAAGGTTTCAAAGCAGCTGAGGGTGTCATGAGAGCACCTTGGTGCTTCAGGTGTCACAGTGAAAGACCCAGTTAGTGCTAACTTACAGCAAACTCACAGCATTTATCTCCAAAACTGGCACATACAGACCTCTAGGTCGATGTGTGGGGCAGAGATGCAACATTTCTACATTCCTTTACTTTTGACATTTGGAATACAACTCCAGAAAGCACCGCATTGAAGGTGGGGTTCTTTCCCAGGTACAACAAAGCAGAATTCAGTCAAGGGGAAAACACAAAAACTGAGTACAGGGGATGTTTGGCACACTCAGGTTTGCTACCAAAAGCTCCAATGCTGTTCCCCCAGGTCACCAAAGTTTGCCTCGGATTGAGTAAAAATTGGGTCTGACCTTTAGGTTTCAATTTCTCATTAAGCTGAAAGCAGCCTGCCCAGCCCTTCCCGCCACAGGCTGAGAAAACAAAATCCTGCCAGTGTTTTGGGGATGTTTTCTGGGACTCTGGAGAGGCTGGTGGAGTCCCTGCTGGTGGCAGGGGGAGGGAGGACAAGGACAGGGTGCCAGGGCACGGTGACAGCACGGACACAGAGCTGCAGGGCACATCTGTACTGACAGACTGGAGAAACCACCCTCCAGGCACCAGAGGAAAGGAAATCTCCTTCCCTTACACACCTCAGGAGCATTTCACAAGCCCATTTAAGAGTTTAGCTTTTGTTTTGCTATTAATGTTCTATTCTTGAGGAGAGAACTATGAGCAAAATTAGCCTTTACTACAGGAAATAAACAGGGAAGGGGACAACTAATTACACCAATTGATGTGTGTCTAACACAAATCTTTTATAGAAAGAGTTAAAAATAAGCATTTCTGTGCCTGAAGTGATTAATATTCCACCCAACTGTTTCTTTTCCCCAGCAATCTGCAAACTGTAAGTGGGTGGGTATTTTTTTAGCTGCTTCTTATCAGCATTATTTATATTATTTTCACAATTAAAAAACAGAACTACAACAAAAAATGATTAAATGCAAATGTCCATGCTTTAGTCCCTGTTGGACTCTGCTTTCCCCTATTATTTCACCACGTTTCAGAACTGCAAGAATAACTGTGGCAAAACTTGTTTGGGAAAAACACTTAATATAAAATGACATGAAAATGCCTGAACCAATTCCATGCCCCAAAAGTTTAAATTTATCATCCCTAAAAGCATACTTGAAAGTACCACATAATCCTTCCTCCAGCTCTCTGAATTCTATTCCTGGCACTTCATACATCTGAAGGTGCAATTCAGCACCATTCACTGACAAAATTCACCTAGGAAAATCCTTCCATGTCTCCAAATGCATTTCTTAGGGAGCAAAAACATTTTTATAACTACTTGATTCTTCAGAGAAAATCCTAAAAGGAATAAAGTAACATCCAGCTTTAATAACCACTTGCCTAAACGGACTGTCTAACATCAAATAATTCTGAAAAAGAAATCGCAGGAATTGATTAATTATAGAGTCACTAAGCTCATCATATTAAATGTACACAAGAAAACACCAGTCTGAAACATCAAAGTGTTCTGCTTTCATCGCTTACCTTCTTTCTTTGTGAAGGCATTTAACAAAGACTTCATTTTCCCTTTTTACTTTAGCAGCAATCCCCTCATTATATAACCTTTGCAGGCAAGAAAGAGGCAAAAAAAGATTTAAAAAAATAAAAAATAATAATATTAAAAAAAAAAAAACACCAACAATCAAGCTACCCAATTTCTATGTGTTCAGGCTGGCTGCACCCTGACATAAGCAGCAGGTTTCTGGGCACTGTGGAATTGCGAGCATAGCTGGGCATGCAGTACCCAGCGTTCTGGTGACAAAGCCCACCCCACATTCTGTCTGTCAGCTGGGAGCCAACTGTGCACAGACTGGAGCTGCTCAAAAAAAAAAAAAAAAAAAGGGAAGAAGGAAAAAAAAAAAAAAAAAGCGCTCCTGCTATCTCTCGCAGCTCGCATTAGTCATGTGAACCTGCCGCCGCCACAGCCCCGCAGAGCAGACGCTGCTCCCGCTCCCCAGCCCCAGCCCGCCGGCTGCGGGAGCGCCTGGGACCGGGAGCTGCGGGGCCCCGGCGGCCGCACATTCCCCGCTCCAGCCGGGAGAGGGGCTGGAGCAGCTGGGGCCGGGCACGGGAAAGCCCGGCCGGGGCTGGGAGCTGCCGGGGACCTGCCTTTCGCTCTCAACTTGCACAGCTGCCTCTCGGTGCTCAGAGCATCCCACTGTTTATTCGCTTGTTGCTATTTATGTGCTTGTTGCTGTTTACTCACTTTTTGCTATTTATTTCCTTTTACCTATCTGTTTCCTTTTCACTATTTCTTTTTCCCCATCGGTTTCCCCTTCTGCTCTTCACTTTTTGTTATTTATTCCCTTTCCCCTAATTATTTATTTATTTCTTCCAAAGGACCAGTCTGAGGAGAAGCACCAATCGCCCCAAGCTTCACACAATGACCACGTTAAGCATGGAGCCAGACCTGCCACTACACAGAATCTCTCACCTATATTCCTGTATTTTCCAGTTTGAAACAGAGGGGATGATACAAGCACAATTATTCTCCCCTCCCCTTCCATCGCGCTGGAATAAAAGAGAATTTCTTTTTGGACAGAGTAAGAATACCAAAAAAAAAAAAAAACACGAGAAAGCTCATTTGGTAACTTCGGTGCAGATGCCAGGAAATACAAGATATAACCAGAGAAGTTTGGAAAATCCTAATTCTGAATGAAAAAGAAACCCGGGGATAACTATGCTTGGCAGTGCAAACATGCTTCCAGAGGAAGAGCAGATAACTGAAACAGCCATATAGGAAGGAGGGGGAGGTGCTAAAAATCACAAAAATTTTAAGCAGATCTACTTAAATCTATGATGCAAAGATTCCAAAGGATAGGAAATTCATGGTCTAATAAAAAAGAGCAACCTACATTAAAAAATTGTCTTCTAGTAATATAAACTATATAACAGGTAATAAATATTTATTCCATTTCAGGCTTCTTCACTGATCACTAATGCATCTATTTGGAAAATCAAGGGGTTTCTTACTGAGAAAACTGCTTCAAGAAAGATAGAAAATAAATTACCTAAATGGATTTAATATCTGTGTGCATAGTGATCTCACAGCTAACACAGAACTGAAAAGAATTAGTAAGCATAAATAAATTGAACAGTTTAAACGTAATTTAACATCACAGTGTTTAATTTA